GCGCTCTGCTCTGTGTTCCGGTGGTACCAACACTCTTTCCTTTCCTTGGAACTGTCCATTCTCCTTCTAACTGGGGAGGCTCCCAGGGAAAGAACCTCTGATGAAGGGGAAGAAGTCAGCAGAATAAAAAATGTTCTGCTTCAGGATGCAAAGGAAAAAGTTCCTGAGAATCTAGTTTTCTCTGGGAAAATTTTCTAAAACATTCCAAAAGAAGATTGCTTTCCAGTGGATCAGATAGCAAGGACTCTGCTCACCTGTCAAACCTACTTTGTCTTGGCAGCCGTGGAGAGTTTGTGTTTGACTGATTGAATGTGCACATGAAGCCTTTCTTAGCATCTCCTTTTCCCTTCAATGCTTTTCTGAACTACTGCTCATCTGACAGCAACAAAACTCCCTTCCCACAACCTCCTGCCACCCCAATGAAATTGGAGCCCATAGTAATGGCTCCGATTTATTATATCCTGGCCAGAGTTAAATCTCAGGATCCGCCCATTAATATCATCTACTGAAGCAGAGATTTAGAAGCTAAGGTGTAAATTAATTGTTCAGACAGGTATTCTCTGATGGCCCATGTTAAAATGGAGGAAAAAGTGAAGTGTGAAATAATTCAACCTGATAATTCTGGACCTTCTGCATTTACATAGCAACCTCTATTGAGGGTTTGGTAAGAGATGCGACATTTGACGTCTCAGGGCCTAGCAGGGCAGGGGTGGGGTGGGAATAGGGATACATAAATTGCCCACTAGTAGCAGTAGAGCATCAATTTACTCACAATACACATTCCTGAGCCATCCTGGCATCGATTTGAATGTCTGTTGCAATTGCAGGGAACACACCGTCCGGTATATAAGCCTTTGTTTTCCCGATAGTATCCAGGGCTACAACCCTATTTTTTAAACAAAGTATTTAGTTAATATAAAGAAAGAAAATTATTATCTAAATCATGTGACAATTCTGACTGTCAGGCATTCACTTTTTATCTTCTTTCCTTTAGCCTGTGTATGGATTTCTACTTTCACACTCTAACCAGGTCCATTTGCTTTTTGTTTGTCAGGTTCTATTTTGTTTCCACACCACGGTGGGAGTGTGTAAGCTTGTGCCTGAGTGGGAGACATGTGGTGGGGAAACCAGAGAAAGGGGAAGTATGGAGGGTGGGTGTGGAAATGGCTTCTTCTGCTTCTCATGCCTGCTGTTTTGAGGGCAATTGTAGGGGGCGAGTGGTGAAGCAGCACATGGAATCAGGACCTCGGTCCTTAGCGGGGAGGATCTCTAAGCAAATCCCTTCAAATTCAAGTTCTCTTCAGTAGCTATTCCCTCTCCAAGTATGGATTTGGGCTGGTAGAGAAGGAAGTATGTGATGAGGGGAGAATAAAGAGTCTTCATTGGGATCTACACAATCATGGCAGGACTGTGGAGTGATTTTACTGCCACTCACCACCCTATGGGCAAAATAGGGAAGTCAGGGGAGAGGAACGTGCTTGAGTTCTCCTGCAGAACTTTGGAGGGATATTTGGTTCTGATAGAGCACACAAAGACCAGCTCCAGTAACTCTCCTCCCATGTGGTCTTCTCTTGTTCAATATCAATTTGATTATACCTATCTCCAGTATATTGTCTTTTTTCCAGTGTAACACATTATTATTTTTCATATGAATGAAAATAATTACACTTTTTTTTTTATGAACTGATATATATTTTAAAAGGATTCTAGGGCCGGCCAAGTGGCGTGTTGGTTAAGAGTTGGCTTGGAACACCAGTTCTGAGCAGCAGGGCCGCGGTTTGGATCCCACATGAGGGCCAGTGACACTGCACCCTCTACAGCTAAGATGGTGAACAACAGCTCGACCTGGCGCTGGACTGCTGAGAGTCGCCAGCGATGGCGTAGGCTGCAGTAGAGCTGCAGTGGGCTGCTGTAAAGCTACTGTGAGTGGCTGGCAGCCAGCATGAGCTGCCAAGAGGCACCATGAGTGGCCGTCCAGTGACCGGCGACCGATCTGCCTCAGCCTGGGAAGAGCACAATGATAATACCAACATGGGCCAGTGAAGCGACGTCCTCCACAACTAGACTGAAGAACAAAAGGACAGCAACTTGTCTGTTCCTCAATAGAAAAAACAAAAAAAAGCAATTACTCTTGCACCAGCCACTAAAAATTGTTCAGATTTCTGTCTTTAAAGGGAACTATAGATGTTTCCGTTATTTGGCACAGTGAATCAGTGCACTGATTAAAATCAGATGTTGTCCCTAGTTTCCTTGACTGATCTCCTATATGCCCTATCTTTAAAGCATCAGGAAAAATTAATATTTCAAGATAAAAGGTCTTTTCTCTAATTCTCTTTGAACATCACATATGTTTGGAAGACTCTGAAAGTACCATCAAGACAAATCTTGAAATAAACTGCCCATTCTGATTCATCCACGGCCATAAGGGTCTCTACCTGGTCAAGTGGGGGAAGGGAAGAAGCCAACGTGAGAAGACTAGAGAAGCCTCCTGTACTTCCCAGAGTGGAATATTCCAGTTGCTGCTAGGAGCTTCTTCCAAAATTACCAGTGACTACAAATCGTACACAACAAGACTATAATTTCCAATATACTTTTCCCTTTAGCTATTAGAAACCATGTTAGGCAAAAGAACACATTGTAAAAAAATTAAATTGCTTTATCTGTTATATGAATAGGCTTGTCTAAAGGAGAATCGAAGTATGAAAGGAATGTTCTTTAGCTGAAAGCACAACTGAGAGATACGTTTGAATGAAATTCAGCCCATGACGGTATGATCCTACCTACAAATAACCTCTGCTATTAAGTGGCAAGTACCTTATAATTATCAACATATATCACAGTACATGCTTATAAAATAATCATATTTGGTAAAGAACAAATTATCCAAATAAATAAGCATAGCTAGTTTGTTTGTGACAACATACCCAAGTAAATGCCTTAATTAGACATGTTTTTGGGGGAGGATATTGTACCTTGATTAAAGTTAAAGCATCCATCTTAATTTGCTTTTGATTAGAATAAAAAAAAGTACTCTGCAAAAGTTATGTATCATGTGACTGTCAGACAAACTGCTTGTCAGTTACTGAAATATAATTATTTTCTCACCTCTCTAGAGCACACAAACTCCACATTACACATAAAAGTCAGTTCAAGTATTCAGATTGTATTAAGGACTTGCTCTAAATTAAAATAAATATATCCTAAGAAATTATTTCAGTAAAGAGGTTTTGCAGCTAATGATTTTTTAAGTGATAATTTTTCAGGATAATTTTTCCAATAAACTTTTATAGTACAAATGATAAAATTATGTCCCTATCAGGTTTCCAGGGCTATTTCAGCAGCCATAGAATCTATTTCTCTGTGAGTGTACATGTAACATCCAGGAAGTTTAAAGAAAAAGAACAGAATTTACAAGTGTTTAATGCCTCAAGAATTGAAGTAAGTCTGTTAGGTATTATACAAACCTGATCTTCTTAAAATTATGGATTTCACTGATTCTAATGTTTTACTTTATGGGTATTTTTTCTTCCAAGCAGAATTTGAAAGCCTACAGGCATTGGACTCTTTGTCCCAAGGCTTGGGTTACGCTCTAAAGGGCACAAAGTTTATAGCATATTAACATCCCACAAGTACTCAAACTCTTATCTGTCTGGGCATTTCCAGGTGGGCTGATGTTTATAGAGTTTGTGGTTAACAGCTCAGGAGAGCAATCTGTTAGGCACTGTAACCAACACAGCCAGTCAACAGGATGGGGAGACCATCGGCCCCTCCCCCAGCCCACTCATTATTCATTCATCACCCTAACTTAAAATATCACAAAGCTGAGAACCTTTCCCCATCCCAAATCAAAATTTAAAAGGGACATTACCTGGTTGGGTCTAAGCTCCCCATAACTTGCTTGCAGGTGGTTTTGACCGGGAGGCTGAAGAAACGCTACCCTTTGCTGCTGTGAATTGTATCCCAGACACTGCCCCAGGGCTGCCCCAAAGATCCACAGCCATCCTGCACTCCGGGCAGACCACCTCACTGCCGGGGGCATCCTGGTCCCTGGGCGTCCTGCTGGCTGTGCACAAACCTCTGCCTCTTCCTCTTATACCAGTCCTTCCTGCTCAGTGCCCAGGCCCGCCTGACTCAGGTAAGCAAGGCTGTCTGCGGCAGGAGGCCCCACCTGTAAACTTCACCCATGAGTCAGCCTGTGAGAGAGCACACATAACAGTCCCATATAGAAGTGCACTGCTCTGTAATCCCTGCGAGGTGGGGCACGTATCACCTTCTACCCACCTCACCCCACAGACAGACGGCACTAGCCGCCGAGAGCAGCTGTAAATCACAGGCTGAGTCATGCACAGAGAACACGCCCTGGGCACGAAGGTGGTAATCCCGAGGTTCCACTCTTCCCTTTGGGCTATATATTTTATTTAATCAGGCTAGAAAAGAGGTAGAAGGAAGTGGGGAGACTCTAAGTACTTGTGGACTAAATGTTACAAGGCAGGAGTCCCCAGAAGACCACTGCAGGTAATATATTTGCAGATTAAAAAACTCTTATTGTGCAGATCACTTTTGGATTTTCTGCTAGCAAAGGGCCAGAAGAGAAAAATAAAGGATGTCTATGGAATACACAGAATGACAATGTTTGCCATTTCCTAATGATAGTACTGATCTTTGTGCTCTCTTTCCCTCTCTTTAGGAAGGAAACACATTTCCAGCCTGAGATATGAAATGGTTTCATTTTATGGCACATTTTTAATCACCTGAGGACAAATGTGGTTGACTGAGCCTCCAAGGTGGACCTGCTGTGAGCTAGAAAATTGAACTTTGATTTCCCCTCGAAGAATTAGGATATACTCTGGGCTATAACTCTTTTGGGGTTGGTGGTTGGAGGGAGGTCCTGGATTAGAGAAAAGCATGAAAACCCCAGGTCAGCTACTGGGAAAGCAATAGCTTAAATCCTGGCATGCTGACTGGTGGGATCCTTCCTACTTCTGGGCAAGTCCTGACTTTTACAACCCCCTGGATCTATTGGGATCCTGTGGCTGTCCTATGGATTTTGAGACATTTGTGATTTCTTTTTCATATTTATTACCTGAAGGTGGTCCAGGTGGGGTAGAAGCTATTACCCAGCAGAAACTTGGGTGATGGACAGAGTGCCCCAGACCATCTGGCAGTGCTGGCCAGCAGCCAGGAGAGCCCGCCCCTGGAGTCCCCTGGGGAAATTCTACGGAATAGGAGAATTTCCTACCTGACATGAGTCACCAGTGTAGTCAGGGGGGCAGGCGCACATCTCTACATGATGTGCTCTACGTCCACTTCCTGTGTCAGAGGCCTCCTCCAGCCCCACCCCACTCAGGGTGAGCCGCTGCGTCTCGGTGAAGAAGAGACCTCGGAGGCGCACATCTTCCAGTCTAGACAGCACCGTCATCAGTTCTTCCCGAGTCACTGGGGCACTGCTGCTGGCATGTCTGAAGTTTTGCTACATGTGAAAACAGAAAGGCAAGGTCTCCCTCTGGCAAGCTCACTTCTAGGGGTTTCAAAGAGGCAGACACCCAGAACGAGTCGAGGAAAAGATATTTAAAATGCATAACAGAAAACAAAATGAAATAAAATAAGATAGGTAAGCGTATGTGGATTTACATTCAGAAGTCAGATGCCCTAGGGTATTCCCAAGAAGAGAGAGTGCAACGTGAAAGGGGAAAACACGAAGGCAGGAAAACAGGAACAATAAAATGAAATAAAATTTCAAGTGTTATGCTTATTTTAAAATGCATTTCTGTTTGTGCAAGCACAGAATGAGTGAGGAAGATAGAGGAGAGAAAAACCATATGGACACCAACTGAATTATGCAGCTCAGATTATTCATTAAATGTACATCATTGTGACAGAAAGCACAATCTTTTCTTGAACACACACATTCACATTTTATTTTTTATTATGGTAAAAAACACATAACATAAAAACTACCACCTGAACTATGTTTAATTGTACACTACAATACTGTTATCTACATGCATAGTGTTGTACAACAGATCTGTAGAACTTGACCATCTCGCAAAACTGAAACTCTATACCTATTAAGCGGCAACTCCCATTCCCGCCCCCTAGCTCTCAGCCCTTGGCAACCATTGTAGTTTCTGTTTCTATGAATTTGAGTGCTCTTATAAGTGGAATCACGCAGTATTTGTGTTTTGTGACGGGCTTATTTCACTTAGCATAATGTCCTCAAGTTTCAGTCATGTCCTAGCATGTGACAGGATCTCCTGCCTTCTTAAGGAAGCATAATAGTCCAGCGTATGAATATCCACATTTTTTTTATCCGTTCATCTGTTGATGGATGTTTCAGTTGCTTTTACCTCTTGGCTATTGTGACTAGTGCTGTAATGAATATGAGTATGCAAGTATCTCTTCAAGATCCTGTTTTTAATTCTTTGGGATATACACCCCAAAATGGAATTGTTGGGTCATATGGTAATTCTATTTTTTAATGTTATGAGGAACCTCAAAATTGTTTTCTACAGCAACTATACTGTTTTATAGTTACACCAACAGTGTACCCATGTTCCAATTTGTCCACATCCTTGCTAACCTTGTTATTTATTTTTTTTTAATTAAAATGTTTTTTGTTATAATAGCCGTCCTAATGAGTATGAGATGGTATCTTGTGGTTTTTGGTTTGCATTTCTCTAATGATTTAGTGATGTTAAGCAACTTTTCACATAAAAGCCTGCACTTTTAACCTTTAAGTTCTGTTGCCTCCTTTGAAGTTTCCACATCTCTTTAATGGGCATGGGAATAATACGTAGTTTCTCAGGACTGTCATAAGGATTAAAATAAACTCATGCTATAACATATAAAAGTATTCAGTACAGTGCCTAGGATATAGTAGACATTCAATAAATGATAACTATTATTGACATATAAATATAATACTTATATAATTTTAATTTGTATTTTCACAGCTTGAGGCTTAAGTGACATACAATAATATTCCTTCATTTTAAGTGTACAATTTTTAGTAAATTTACAGAAGCACCCAATCATTATTACCACAGTGTAATTGTAGGACATTTTCATCCCCCCTAAAAGAGCCCTTGTGGCCGTTTGTAGTTACTACCCATTCCCACCCTCAGCCCCAGGCAACCACTAAGCTATGTTTTGTCTCTATGGCTTCCCCACACTGGACAATTTATATAAATACCAACTTAACTTCGATAGTATACACTAAATTGACTTCCATTGGCTTCATTTCCTCCCCTGCTCCTTTGTGTTATTGTCATGCAAATTACATCTTTATACATTGTATGCCCCCCCAACACAGAATTACAATTATTGCTCTATGCAGTTGTCTTTTAAATCAGAGAAGAGAAAAAAAGAGTTTCAAAGACATATTTATACTGCCTTTTATATTTACGTATGTAGTTACCTTTACCAGTGCTCTGTTTCTTATGTGGATTTAAGTTATTGTCTAGTGTCCTTTCATTTCAACCTAAAAGATTCTCTTTAGTATTTCTTGTAAGGAGGGTTGGTTAGTGGTGAATTCTCTCAGTTTTGTTTATCATAGAAGGTCTTCATTTCTTCTCATTTTTGAAGGACATTTTGCTGGATATATCATTCTTCACTGAAAATGTTTTTCTACACTTTGAAAATGTCATCTCACTGCCTTCTGACTTCCATGATTTCTGACGAACAACTAGTAGTTAATCTTATTGAGGACCCCTTGTATATGATGAAGTGCTTCTCTCATCTGTCCTTCAAGATTCTCTCTTTGTCTTTGTTTCAGCATCTTTGCTATGATGTTTCTGTGTGTGGATTTCTTGCATTAATCTTACTTGGAGTTTGTTGAGCTTGGAAGTGTAGACTAATGATTTTCATCAAATGTGGGAAGTTTTCAGAAAAACTTCAAAAAATTGTTTTATCCTTTTTTTCTCTCTCATCCTCTTCTGGCACTTCCATTATGCACATGTTGGTACATTTATTTGATGGTATTCTGAATATCTTTGAGAGTCTGTTTGTTTCACCTCATTCTTTTTTCTTTCTGTTCCCCAGATGAATAACCTCCATTGACCTTCTAAAAGTTTGCTTTTTCTTTCTTCTGCCTGCCCAAATCTGTTATTGATCCCTTGTCTTAGTCAGCTCTGGCTTCCATAACAAAATACCACAGTGCAGGTGGCTTAAATAACAGAAATTTATTTTCTCACAGTTCCTAGATCAAGGTGCCAGCCAATTGGGTCCCTGGTAAAAACTCTCTTCCTGGCTTGCTGATGGTCACCGTCTTGCTGTGTCCTTACATGGAAGATAGAATGAGCTTCCTGGTGTCTGCTCTCATAAGCACATACTATAGGACAAAAATAATCCTACAAGATCAGGGCTCCACACTTACAACATCGTTTAAACTTAATTACTTCCTTACTCCAAATACAGCCACCCTGGGGGTCAGGGCTTCAACATACAAATTTGTGGGACACTATTCAGTCCATAGAAGCCCTTCTAGTGAATTCCTCATTTCAGTTATTACATTTTTCACTTTCAAAATTTATATTTGATTTTTCTTTTAAACTTATATTTCTTTATTGATATTCTCTATTTGGTGAGACACTGTTCTCATCTTTTCCTTTTGTTCTTTAGACATAGTGTCCTTTTGTTCTTTGACGTACTGAAAATGTTTATTTAAAGACTTTTTATAGTAAATTGATTATCTGGACTTCCACAGGGACAGTTTCTATTTGTTGCTTCCCCTCTCCCGCCCTATGTATGAACCTTTACTTTCTCATTTCTTTGCATGTTTCATAACTTTTTTGTTGAAAAATAGATATTTAAAACAATATAATGGGGCAATTCAAGTCTCTGTTTGGTTAGCTTAGTGGTCAGCTAATGATTGGACAGAGATTTCCTTAAATGCCTGGAACCAAAAAGTCCCCTAGTCATTGCAAAAGGGCTTTGCATGCATGTTGGGGGACCCCTCCAACACTCAGCCAGGCATCTGACAACTCTGCTTTTGCCAAGCTTCAAGGTCGCCAGAGGTGAGGGCTTAGGGCCTCTTCAGGTCATTCGTGAGTACGCACACAGCCCTGAGTATGTGAGTCCTTCTATATTTCCAGGATTGAGTTGGAGCTTTCCAAAGCCCCTATGGATATCTCATCCCCCAAATTTGTATTTTAAACTTTGTGATTAGCCTATTGTTTGATCCAACTGTTACCACTATCTTAGGCAGTCATGAAGTGAAACAATTGCCCCCAAATGTTTCCAGTACTCCCAGGGGAAAGGCTTTTCACATTGGGAGAGCTCTGAGTCAGGTCAGAGAAAGACAGCCTTGGAAATGCGATCATCTGGAAACCCCCAGGTAGGTCAAATCATGACAGTTCTCTGAGAATGAGTCTTTGTAGGCGCTCCAGTCCCACTCTGTCCCCTCTGGTGGCTTCCAGGCTACTGGCTTTCACCTTGATGGTGGGCTATTGATTTCCAAGGGTGCTGTAGAGCTGGAGCGGGGGATGGGAGTAGAGCAAGTTGAATACCAGCCATGAAGCTCATTGTTCTTTCCAAGATTCATCCATTTTTCTTGAATAAATGCTTTCAAGATTGCTTCAAGCCTTTGGTTAATTTCCAGAGTTCTGAAATAGCCGATTCTGACCAATTAGGCCAGTTTTCTCACTGCTTTTATGGAGGACATAATTTTTGGAGGTTCTTATTCCACCATTTTTGTTGGCATCACTTCTCTCATATTAAAATATAGTCACACAATACATGATCTTTAGTTATTGCTTCTTTCGCTCAACATAATGTTTTTGAGGTTCTTCCCTATTGTGGTAGGTATCAATACTTTGTTTTGTTTATTGCCAAATAACATTTCATTGTACATACGTGCCTGTACAGAAATGTTAAAATACGTGTGCGAGTTCAAGGTACTTGAAAAAAATATCAACCTGAGGTATTGGACATATTTAATACAAACTGAACACGATTTTAAAGAAATAGTTGTAATCAAGTAGATGTAATACATTGTTTTATGATTTGATGAGCTTTCCTTTATGTATCTATATTACTCTTCCTTCTTTTGGTGTTAGACATTTTTGTGGCTTTTCCATCCATTCATGCTAAGCATTTGTTAGGTACTCACCAGGTCCCAGGCACTGAGGGAGGCCTAAGGATGAGAGGGAGCTACATAAAGCACTTATAAGCTCAGTGTTTATAGACAAGGATAATTAACTGTAAAGCAGGAGAGACAGTGCTCAGTGCTATCAAGATAGTAGAAACAAAGCCGTGTGAGGATGAAACTCTGTATATTTTATATAATGTATATTTAACATGTTTATACATATAAATTATATTTACAGAAATATCATTAATATTTTAAATTCATAAAATAAATAAAAAATCACAACTGCTTGAAAGAACAAAATCATAGACAAAAGGATCATCAAAAACCATTTTGTGTATGTTTCTCCTTTACCTCTACCACCTGCACTCGCCCATGATACAGCCGGTCCGGTCGTGGGTTATTCAGCTCCTCATAGATGACGGACATGCGCTGACCCTGTACAAAGAAAACAGAAATGCATGAGTGCTGTGGCTGGGGTGTTTTGAGGTTTAAGACTGATCTAAGGACAAATTTCTATGAATCTGCAGTACCTGTAATGCCTAATTCTAAAAATAGTTGTGGGATGAACTGGTAAAAGAATTAGTGACACGGAAACAGAATGATAATATTTAATACAATGCATTTTCACAAATAAGAATCCCCAAAATTCCCATGACTGAAAATGGCTAAAAAGTGGAAAAAGCCATTATAAAAACAAAACAAAACAAAACCATGCTTTGCAGTCAATGCATAATGTGCTATTTCCATTACTGCCTACAGGACCCAATCGTGGTAGTAAGAAAGTGCTTTAGTGGGTGGATTAAGCAGAAAGGATAACAAGGCCTAGCAGTGCAGGCTACAGAGCCAGGGAGCTGCAGCAGACGTGTGGAGAGGGAATTAGCCCCCCACCCTCACCCTCCAAGATCCAGCCTTGCTCACTCACAGCCTCTGTATCCCCCTCCACATGACAGTGGCTCTTGAGTGACTCCTAATGGCACAACGGGAAAGTCAGTGCCTACCATCAGCACCCCTACCCCAAACTCACACACAAAAGCCCCAGCTTTTCTGCTGTAGCACCAAACCTGAAAGGGTTCCATTCATTAGAGCTGGCATTTCAGAAAGAAGAGCATTATCTGTGATCACAAATCACTTAAAACCTTAATGTAAGACACATGCCCCATAGGCTCTTAATTACTTTGGTTTGGAACAAAGCAACCGAGTAAATGTTTCATGAGCCTAAATTGTTTTCCATGTTTGAAGGAGAAATTTTGATTATCACCTCTCCATGAAGTCCAAAAATTTGCATAATAAACTCTCCAGCTGTAAAATACATGTATACTAATGGCCTGAATTTGAGATACATTGCAAAAATAATGCAACTAAAATACAGCACTGCCATGACAGTATTTTTATTGTGAAGCTATTTTTTTTCCTTAGACCACAGCTCTACAATTTTTGGTGCTTCATTTTCAAGGTGTTTTGCAAAGGTTCCTTTGAGTTTTTAAAATAATAGTTCAATAAATTTGGGTGCCAGTAAAAACAAAACATAACATGGCAGTGCCTGAACACAAAAATGTCCACCAGGATGCGAGGCCCTCAACGCTGCTGAGCTAGCTGTGTGAGACTTGCTATTCCCTATTTTACAGTAAATGACACACACAGACACAAACCTCCAGCAAGCTATAATTGCATTGCATTAATCACAACATACACACCAGAAATCAGAATCAACTTCAGGCTATGGCACCCCAACCTATGTTCATGGGCCTGTGCCATACATTGTAGGGGACTCCATGCAAAATGTGACCTTTCCCTTGCCCTCAAGGAATGTTCTAGATTGCAGTTCTGGATTGTGTAGTTGGTACGTAGTGTGTGATGTCACTTTTCTTCTCAAAAATCCAAAGATGTGCCCCACTTTCTACATCAAGCCAAATTGCTTATCATAGCATTAAACCCTCTCCTTCCTACCCTGATAGGCCTATTTTCAATGACCTGGTACACAATGATAATACAGCCAAGTTGGACTGGTCACTCGTAAGCACTTCCTCTCTACCTTGGCTCACCTCATTTCCTGCCACTGGGAGGGCGTTTCTCCTCTCATGCCCAAGCTTACAGGCTTGGCTCAAAACCAACCTTTTCCATGAAGCCTTCTGAGGGCCTCTCAGATACTTAAGCCCCCACTTGGACCCCAACTCCCACACAGCTTTGTTTGACTGTTTCAAATGCTTACTCTTCAGTGGATTGTAGTAATATTTACATATTTCTTTCATCTTCCCTCTTAGACTACACAAGTTTTGAGGACAGGGATCACCTGCCCTTTATAAGCCCAGCAATATGGTCTTGTAAACAGGAAGGGCTCGAAAACACTTGTGAGGGCCGGCC